TATCAAGTCCATTCTCTAGTAGGTCTGTGTCTTTATTCCTGTCTTACCCCTAGGTTCTTCATGACATTTTTTTTCTTAAATTCCATGTATATGTGTTAGCATACGGTATTTGTTTTTCTCTCTCTGACTTAACTTCACTCTGTATGACAGACTCTAGGTCCATCCACCACATTACAAATAGCTCAATTTCATTTCTTTTTATGGCTGAGTAATATTCCATTGTATATATGTGCCACATCTTCTTTATCCATTCATCTGTTGATGGACACTTAGGTTGCTCCCATGTCCTGGCTATTGTAAATAGAGCTGCAATGAACATTTTGGTACATGACTCTTTTTGAATTATGGTTTTCTCAGGGTATATGCCCAATAGTGGGATTGCTGGGTCATATGGTAGTTCTATTTGTAGTTTTTTAAGGAACCTCCATACTGTTCTCCATAGTGGCTGTACCAGTTCACATTCCCACCAGCAGTGCAAGAGTGTTCCCTTTTCTCCACACCCTCCCCAGCATTTAATGTTTGCAAATTTTTTGATGATGGCCATTCTGACTGGTGTGAGGTGATACCTCATTGTAGTTTTGATTTGCATTTCTCTAATGATTAGTGATGTTGAGCATCCTTTCATGTGTTTGTTGGCAATCTGTATATCTTCTTTGGAGAAATGTCTATTTAGGTCTTCTGCCCATTTTTGGATTGAGTTGTTTGTTTTTTTGTTATTGTCACCTCATTTTTGAATTTTTTCTAGTTCTAATTCCTAAGAAGAAATGGTTGTTCCTTTGTGTCTAGTATATTCTTTTGGTATCTGTTGGCAAGTTTAGAAATTGCATGTTATAGCTGTGATCTGATATGTGAGGCTGTTTTCCTTGGGGTGCTTTCATTGTAGAGTTGTTATTCCTTTTTCCCTCTTCATTTCTTACAGTAATATTGTGTGGAATTTGATCTCAGTGCTTTTCTGTTGCTGATTTTCTTGAAGTTTAAGAAAGAGGCTTGATTCTGTATAGCTTTTTCTAACTTCACAGAGCTCCCTCTTCAATTAACGTAGTATTGTTTTTGGTTTTTTTACCTTGCTGTCTGAAGTTTCCTGTCTTTTCTTCCCCTTCCCCACTGTTAACTGGCTCTTCTGGTTTTTCACCTTTGTTATTTCTGTTTTGCTTAATTTTGATTTTTCTCCCAGTATTTTTCCTCCAATCTGAGGCCCTGTTCTGGGGGCAGGAGTTGGCCAGTCATGTAGCTGTTGGAGGTGTATCCATACCTGCTTGTATTTTGGTGTTTGTAGGGATACCTTGTCACCTAGTTTTGTTGTAAATGGTGTCCATCCATTTTATATGAATTAAATGAATTTTTCTATTTAATTGCTCTGAATGTTTATATGTGGGGATTCCAAGAGATCCAAAGAACTATGTTACTACTACCACTGCCATCTTAGAACTCCCCAGTTTTTAAAATGATGATTATGGAACTTTGGACTTGAGAGAGATACCAGTTTTGGGGCTGGGACAAAAAATTTCTAAATGTAATTATGAGAAGTAATGAAAAGAATTGGCGTGTAAAATGTAATGGATTATTATGCAGAGATGGGTGAACCCAGTATCTTTGCCTTGCGCAATTACGGAGCAAATAGGGATGATGATGACAATACAAAAAGAAGTATGTGCGATCTGGGGCAGAGGTAGGTTAATCAACACAGTTTAGTCTCCTTCTCAGGACATATGCTTTATTTATTTCTTCATAACCTTAAGAAATTTCTGTAGTTTCTTACAATGAACAGCTACTATGTTAAGTGCTTTAACAATATGTGGACCCTTGCCTACCTGGCCCATCATATACCAAAATCACACACTGAGATGTTGTGGGGAAGTAAAATGAGTGGGAAATGACTTGGCCAGTGTCACACAGCTGCTTTGAGATTTAGACCTCAAGCCTGCCTTTCCTTAACCCCCCAATCCAGGATCCCTTCCACCTCCACCTTCTAGCTCATCACTAAGTATCAAGAAGATGGGTTTATTAGCCAAAACTAAAACTTCCTGATGTGCAATGTATGCTGTTTTTTGAAGAATGTTGTGAATTCTCCTTTCTTAACCATCAGCATGGCAGCTCTCACTGTAGAGTTATTTTGTTCAGGCCGACACGGCGATCACGGTTCACTGAGTGACTCGGCTGCTTTGCATACATGTTTTTATCTAATCCGCACCGCCTGGCAAAGTATTATCCTCATGCCTGGTTTACACACGAGGAGTATGTCGCCCAGAAGTACCCTGCTAATAAACTGTGAGTCTATGGACATAAACCCTTTCTTATTTTATTTTTAAGTGTTCTGGGCAGCAGATAATAGCCTCCTAGCCTCTCTTATCATCACTGTGGACACCACGGTCTGTGTGCCTCATTCCCCCCGCCTCTCCCCCTCCCTACACATGTGCACATGTGTGCGTGCACGTGCAGGAGAGGAGAGAAGTACTACCCTGAATGATTATCCTGGGAGGGAGTCTGTCCTGTTGAATGGGTCTTGTAGGAGGGAGGCGGCCGCTTTTGTTTTCTTGTCCTTTTCCTTTCTGTTTCCCTCCCTACTCAGCCAGTTAGTTCACTGAGCATCAGAGTGTAGATCCAGTGCGTGCTCCTTACTCGTGCCAACATATCAACTTTTGGGCCATTTTCTATGTAAGATTTCTACTTGAACTCTTTACAACCTGTTGCTTTGGTGCCTAGGGCTGTAGAATAAGCAATAACTAAAAACGGAAATGTTTAAAGAAAAAACTTCATGTCCGATCCTTTATATCTATTGGCCCAGGCCTCACAAGGACCACGAGAGGCTGGGGAGCGGGACGCATGGCCCACACGTTGCCAGGCCTCCATCTTTTCCAGGACTCGTCACATCCAGTAGCTTCCTCACTTGTCTTCTTGTCTTGACCTTTATCCTTCTCAAATCCATCAAACACTGTAACCAACCGAGGCCCCGGAACTCTTCTTTCCCTAGGCCACTTTCCTACCCAGCACCCACTGATGCTTTCTCATTGTTCCCGAAATCAAATTAAAACTCCTGCTTGACTTTCAAATTTCTCTCAGTGTGCTTCGCTGAGCTCTTTGCTGGGAGGGCTAGAGTTATAATGGTGTGTAATCCTTCTCTTCCTTCCAGCCTGCCTCTCTCTGCCCCCTTTTGCTTTTACTGAGTAACATTTTCTTTTCCACAGTTACTGTAAAAAGAAAGCGATTCTTTTTAGCTAAAGTAAATTACATCCAACTCTCCTTACATGGAAAAAAATGTACTAAAGTGCTGACAGGTACCATCTCAAGAGTGGGTAGATGTTCTTGCTGTTTTCCTTCCAGGATAATCAGAAACAAATTTAACTGGTGAATGGCCATTTCGTATGGAAGGCAAGTAGTAACTCAGGCTAAATTAGTATACCTCCCAGTAGAATGCACAGCATTTCTATATGATTTGCCACTTACAAAGATAATGAAATCTCAAATGGGAAGACAGGATGGGTCATACATGCTGTCTACGTTTATCTCTTTAAAATGCACTTTGAATAACAGAGCCACAAAAATATGTTAAAAGGAGTGTTAAAATTTCTAGAACATAGTAGGACTTCAAAAATTCCAGGGACTTCCCTGGTGGCACAGTGGTTAAGAATCTGCCTGCCAATGCAGGGGACATGGGTTCGAGCCCTGGTCCGGGAAGACCCCACATGCCGCGAAGCAACTAAGCCCGTGTGCCACAACTACTGAGCCTGCGCTCTAGCCCGCAAGCCACACCTGCTTGAGCCCATGTGCCACAACTACTGAAGCCCGCGAGCCTAGAGCCTGTGCTCTGCAACAAGAGAAGCCACCGCAATGAGAAGCCCACGCACCACAACGAAGAGTAGCCCCTGCTTGCCGCAACTAGAGAAAGCCCACATGTAGCAACGAAGACCCAACACAGCCAAAAAATAAATAAATCTATTTAAGAAAACCCCTCCAGTTACCATTATGTATTATTCACGGCACCCCCAACAGGGTTTTGATAAAATACCTTTCCCTGACAGAGTGTACTGCTAACACATATCAAGAGACCTGGGGAGGACCACATCTGCATGTGTGTGGCCAGCAGCATCCATGGAGTAGAGTGAGGGGGGGTATGTGGCTTGAGGGAGCTTCAAATAGCCATTCAACGTGGACTCAAAAAGGGAGCCTTGGAGGAGCATTCAGACCCATTGCTTACATCGCTGTATGCCCAGAAAAAGTGGCAGATGGCAGCTTCAACTAGCGACCTGATAGTTAATCCACGTCTAGGATGTTTCTTAACTGAAAACGTTAAAGGAGCTAGATGGGCCGGCTTCTACTGCCAATTCTCAGTTTTGCTCTCCTCCTTAGCTACCGTGCTGCTTGTGTCTTTGGTATAATCCCTCTGAGAGGTCAGACTCCAGTGGCGAGGCTCTGGGTCTCAGAGAAATATGGCTGTAAAATGCATGAGGTTTATTCTGATGGTACTTGTGACACTGGGCAGATGGTGGCATTTACCATGTTGATTGGTGAGGAGTGTTTGCACTCCCAGCCACAGATGGGCCGGGAGGGCCTCCTGGTAGCATCACATCCACCCCCTCCAACACACCGCGGCAGGTAGTTAGCTGCTCCCTCTTTTTGTTTCATTAGCACTTGTGCTTGTGTTTCTTTCATGTTACCCGTTGTTGGTGGTGATGATAATCTGTCCTGATGCATACTCCTACGAGGCTGTCAAGTCTTTAAGGGCAGGGACCTGGCTTCTGCTTCAGGGGTTAAGAGGTTCTGCACTATGCTCAAGGTCACCAAGCAGCTGAGTAGCAGTGAGGCAGGGTCTAAGCCTCATTCATCAATCTCCAAAGCCCAGGCTCTTAATTAGAAAGCCTGTCGTGTCATCGAAATAAGAATGGTCCTCTGAGGGCAGAATAATGGACGTGAAATAGTCCATTGTCCAATAATAATTATAATAGTAATTGTTTATTGGACTCTTAGAAACTGCGCTAATCATTTCATGGATATTATTTCAGGTAATCCTTCCAACAGTCCTATGCCTAGAAAATACAAACACCATTTTCAGATGAGGAAACAGGTTCACAGAAGTCAAAAGACTTGCCAACCAGGTCACACAACTCGTAAGTAGCTCCGACTTTAACCCCAGTTGATCTGATTCCAAAAAGCCTTTGGTTGTCTGCTATGCTTTACTGCCTGTTGGCACAAACGGGCCTTGAATATCTGAGAAAAACTACAGTCTGGGAGCTCCTCACCTGCGTGTGTCTCTCTTGTTTCACCAAAGCCCAGACTCTATAGATCATTTGTTGTTACCTTGAGCATAAGAAAACACATGAAGTGGTAATAAGCACATGTTTATAGATAGGTGGATAGCTAGATAGCTAGATAGCTAGATATAACTTGTCATATACCTGAATCAAATTGTAGAAAATAACGTGTTAGTTCCAGGTGTACAGCATAGTGATTCAGTTATACGTATACATGTATCTATTCTTTTTCAAATTCTTTTCCCATTTAGGTTGTTACATAATACTGAGCAGAGTTCTCTAAACTATACTCCAATATAAAATTTTAAAAAGCCCATCTGTGTCCAATTAAAATAATTGTAGAAAATAATTTTCTTACGTGTTGTCCCATTTCTCATTTGAAGTCAGTGGGGAGCTTGAGAAGGACCATTGAAAACTCCCAGCTACCATCCTCTTGAGCCCCCAAACACGCCTCAGTTCTCACTTAGATTATGGTGAAGGGAGTACCTCTGTCAGGTCCACCCCATCATGTGGGTGATTATGGAGGGGTGGTGGAGGTGGCAGCAATGATGCCTTTCATCAGTGTGCCCTGTATTTTTACACGTATTCTGATTTTGGTCTACCTCAGAGGTTGGTTGACCAAGCATTATGCATTATTCTCTTTTTCCTCACCTAGGAAGGAACCGGATCTCAAGGGTGGTTAAGTGATCTCGAGTTGGATTTGAACTCAGGACTTCTATTTTCTGATCGAGTGCACTTTCTGTTGGAGTCATTGCTTTCAAACTGTGGCATGTGGAGGGGCCTCAGAAGCTATGGTGATGAGTGGGGACAGGGGGGCGCAAGGACCTACATCCTGCCTACAGATCCACCTTCGTCTGGTTGATTTACAGGACTCTGTATGAGGTTTCGATTTATAAAAGGGTTCTTGCATTTTCAGTTTGATGTAACAAAGCACTACCAAAATGTAGTTATTATTATCATGAATGCACGTGTGGGTTGGCGGGGGTTTGGCTGGGCTGTGCAAGGCTGCCGTGCTGCAGGCTGCAGCAGTGGGGCAGCTCTGCTTCTCGTTGCAGGCGTGTGGGTCAGCCAGCACGATGGCTCTGTTCCACAGGCCTCTCATCTCTCCTGGACCAGTGGGTCAGCCAGGGCATGTTTTACACATCTTCTTCCAGACTTAGGCTTGGGGCCAGCCTACTGTCTCTTCTGAAGCAAGTCACATGGCCAAGCCCAAAGTCAAGGGGTGGGGCAGTTCATGGCTCACTGTGAGGCCGTGGCCAGGGCATGGATGCAGAGAGGCTTGAAGAGTTGGGGCCAGTAATGCAGTCGACCACAGGTACATTCACAAATTGTAGTATCACTGCACTGCCAACATTGGAAAGTAATGAAAGTTCTTCAAGCCATCTGTACCTATAGGATCCGCTGGAGGTGGCTTTGTAGTAAAGGACAGGAGATTTGTACCCAGAGATCATCAGGCTTGAGGAATGTTCCTTGTGAGTGGCTGCCAGTTTTGGTTGTGGTCCTCATTTTTCATAACTTGCTCAGGTTGGGTGATGTTTAAATGTGTATATGTGTTAGTGTAAGGACAGAGAGAGAGATGCACGGTACAAACGTGCCTCGCTTACCAACCTTGTCCGTTTCCATCCTTGTTTGACCTGAAAGCTTTATTCTATGCTTCGCCTTCCCTCCCACCCCTGCTCTCCCCCAACATTCACAGTAAGTTGGTCTGTAGATCCAGTTCCTCCTCTGCCACTGTGTCCTTGGGTGGTGCCAGCTGCACATCTGTACTGTAAGCTTTACCTGCTGAAAGCCATTCCTGGGTGGTTTGTACCTTCTGACCCTAGACTGGCTAATTTGCCTTCATAAGCTGTCAGATTCTGCAGAGGTCATTCAATTCTGTCTTCTTTGTAATGTGGTTCGAGAAAAATGGCTAAGAGGCCAAACAGAGAGAAATCTGCCCTGAGCACAACATGCCAGTGGCATTCTAATTCATCATTGTAAACATGGTGCAGGAGTTACCAAGTAGGATATTTATGAAGATGGACTCAACGAGGAGTGTATAAGGACAGATGCAAAATATTACAGTCACAAAATAAAAATTACTTCCTGAGGTTTGGGACAGACAAAATCTCCCCATCTTCCTTACTGCTGTTTTTCCCAGTATGTTTAATTACTTGGGTGACAGTCATTAAACATTGCACGTCATGTGTGCCAAGTGGTCCACAGGCTCTTCACCAGACATCTGAGTGGGAGGGTGATTACCTTGTGGGACAAGTGATTATGATGAAGGAGAACAAGTAAATCATCAGGTGGTGCAAAAAGATAGGCATCCGTTCTGTTTAGTCAGAACCAATTTCAGTGACTTAAAAAGATGGGAAGAATCATAACCATAGGCACTGTGCAAGTATGAACACTGTATCTGATTTAGCAAGTCATTTTCTAATTATCTGGAGCCCACACTAAGTGTATCTACATGCTAAAATTCATTTCCTTCTAATAAGATCCCATCTACCTGGATCTCAATAATGTGGCAATCTTATCAATGTGGAACGTCTCGGAATACAGAAGGACGTGGGAAGGCCACCAAATTGCCAACCCCAGTGTCTCAGCCAGGGTGTGATCAGAGAAGCGGAGCCACTAGCTTTTATGATCTGGATTTCACTTAGGCAGTTGGGGGATCTGGTTAAACAGTCAATAGAAGGTTGTTACTTCTGTATTTGACCCTGGGGCCTGAGGTTGGCAGGGCAGGCAGTGGGAAGGAAAGAGGGACATGAAGTGGAGGAAGCAAAGATGAACTGGGACCCTTGGGGATAAGCCGGACTCCAGGAGGATGGGCTGGAAAGCACATTGGTCTCTTGCTGCCTTCAAGCAACTTCCAGGATGGGGCTGACCTGCAGCAGAAGCTGACTGACCTTCATCATGGGACAAGCAAGCACCTGGCCAGGAGTCAGGGAAGGTAAAGGAGGAGTTCCCAAATGGCTGGACAGGCTCATTGGCTGCCTCTTGACAGCTAGGTGGCCCACAGACAAATGATAACCGTAACAGCTGCAGTGGCCCCTGGCACCCTGCACCAACCTTTCAAATGCAAAAGTGCCACAGCTGCCGCCGTACTTCCTTCTTTCAGCTACACACAGAATGAATGCCTCTGTGGTCCATGCCAACCCAGAACTCCATAGGACAGGGAGGTTTGGGAAACACAGTTCCAGCTTAGCTAGGTTAACACGATACAAATCTACTACACTTAGTCTCACAAGCCCATTGATCACACATGGCCCGCCCAAATTGGAATAATCCCTGTTGGTTCACCATTTTGTTAGGGCCACTGTTTACCTAGTTTGCCTAATTAGGGCGCTAGAGTGTTAGATGCAACCATCAGTTCTGTATTGCGTGTTAAGGATCTGCTTACCTGATGGGAATCTTTTTTTAAAATTTTTTAAATTGAAGTATAGTTGATTTACAATGTGTTAGTTTCAGGTGTACAGAACAGTGATTCAGTTTTATATACATATATACATTTATTTCCTGATTCTTTTCCATTATAGGTTATTACAAGATGTTGAATATAGTTCCCTGTGCTATACAGTAGGTCCTTGTTGTTTATCTATTTTATATATAGTAGCGTGTATCTGTTAATCCCAAACTCCTAATTTATCCCTCTCCCCATGAAGGGAATCTTTTAACTCTTGAATTTGCAATGACATCATAAGGATTATTTGAGAAAAACCAGTAATGCAGTGTAGCACACTGCACTGATAGTCATATCTGATGCGGAGGTACATAAACATAAATGGACATGAATATTATAACACATATATGCTGTAAATAATATACCGCCGTTGATATAACATGGTGTAGCAATGACGCCTCTTCAGTGAAATCCAGGAACAAGAGTAGCTTAGTCGTTAACAAATGTTGATTGAGCACCTGCTCTGTGTTAGGTAGTGCTAAAGGCACAGGGGATATAGCAGTTAATAGAACAGCGTCGGCCCTAGGGTGCTTAGGTTCTATTCCAGGTCATCACAGCCAAGGCGCTACTGACATTGTTGGCTGGGTAATTCTTCATTGTGGGCATTGTTCTGTTCGTTGCAGAATGTCGGACAGTGTCGCTGACCTCTACCTACCAGGGGCCAGTAGTGCCCTCACTCCTCTCCAACTGGAGGCAACCAAAAATGTCTTTAGACACTGTAAAATGTCCCTGGGGGGAAATCACCCCTAGTTGAGAACTGCTGTTTCAGGAGAAAGGACAGATAATAGTTACCACTGAGATACTTTCGGACACTACAAGGTTACATTGAGAGTATAAACTAGGACTGCGTGGTTCCATGACCACGTTCGGGGGGGTTGAGAAAGGCCTTGTGGAGGATTGGCATTTGATTTGAGATGCAGGTGGTCCTTCAGAGATCTGGGGGCAAAGTACTTCAAGCAGAAGGAAGAGCCAGTGCTCAGACCCTGGGCGGGGAACGAGCTTGGGGTGTTGGAGGGCAGAAATGTCAGGGGACTTGGAGCACATGTGAAGGGGAGAGAGGAGTGCATGGGGTGGTGTTGGGGGCTTGACATGGGGGCTTTGTTGCAGGGGTCATGGTACGGAGTCTGCATTTAACCCTGGCTACTCAGGGAAGTCATGGGAGAGATTTGATCAGGGGAATGAGGTAATCTAATTTATTTAAAAGAACCATGCGGCCACTGTGTGTGGGGTAGACAAATGCCTCATTGTCCTGCAGCATCATGTACTCTACTTCCTACATCCAGTGACCTACAGGGATCCATGATAACTCCCTGCAGCTGACTGTTTCCACCTAATAAGCAAATGGTAGTTTTGAGTCTCAGTGTCTGCCAGTGATCAAAATTGGACCTGGAAATCTGGCACTTCCGTCACTGACATTTCTTAAATGCTGGCTACTTGAGTGTCTGGCCCTTGCGTGTACACATCAGCATCCTTGCTCAAGTGCTGAGCCCCACCCCTACCCCACTTTTAAAAACAGGCCTTCGGCAGCCTTTGGTAAACATCAGCTTTTCCCTAAGGCGATAGTGGGAAGGACCCACATAGATTTTGCACTTGGGTAAAATCTGAAAATCTCCTACCTGACTACTGCCTGTAATATTCTTTTCTTTCTGACCCAAATACCTTTACTCTAGGTTATTTCTCTCCATCTACCTCCCTTCCCCCCTCCTCCCCAACCCCCATACCTACACAGGATTTTACTGGTTTT